ATATTAAAGGAACAGTGGAAACATAGTTTAAGGGTCAGCGGGTAAAGAGGTCTTGTTATGCACACGTTCAGCGTGTTGGATGTGAGCTGTTCCACATTTGCTGTTAGAAGCTTTTGTATTTGTCATGTCTTCTGTCTCTGAACTGCAGGTTTACACCAACTTCAACTACAGCTGAGGGATAAAAACAGCTTAGCAATAAAGACGGGTGTTCGAAAAAGTATTTCTACAAGAGATGCTGGAAGAAGAGTGAGAATAAGGAAGAGGAATACAACACAGCTTTACTGATGTTGCAGATAATAGGGGAGTAAAAGGATTTCACTCCTACAACAGCTCCAACTACAGGTCATGATCAGTCGCATAACCAAGAAAGCAGAACAATGAGTCACTGCACTGAAATGATAATGTGTAATAACTTGGTTTGTATGAAAAACAAACAAACAAGGGGTACAAGGATCACACGCACACACGCGCACACACACACACGCGCGTGCACACGCACACACGCACAGACACACACAGGCACACGCGCGCACACGCACACACGCGCGCACACACGTACACACATACACACACACCTCCTACTTTGCAGCCAATAACCTGCTGGGAGAAGCCGGGAGCATCGAGTCAGCCAGAGCCTCGTACCTTCCAACCCCTGGCTCGGCTCGGAGTACTTACTGTGTCAACAAAAACAAAAGCCTGTACCGGCTTCACTTCAGCGGCACAGAAGAATCCATCCCATGATGATATGCCTAACAAACAGACTTAAGGAAGCTCTGCAAAGCCAGGTGTGTGCTGACTGAAACTCCTCGGCAGTATACAGGATGTTAAATAAAAGCAGGAGACTTCCAGTAGCTGCGCCACATGCAGCACATGCTCATCATTCACTTTTGCAGCCAAACCTGCCAGACCTGTCTGACATTTGGCAAACAAGCTGTTCCACCAGCAGGACACCTGAATCCCCACCAGGAGCCTGTTCCTCCAAACCTCTAGGTTCCACAGATGTACACCGAGCAGATGTAGATAAAGACCTCCACCTGGACAGCTTTTCCCTCCAGTCAGCTAGAAAACAGTCTGCTTTCAGTGTAGCTGGTTATTTTATTTTCCTTTTAAATGCCTCAGCGTTTCCAGTGATATTCTGACATAATCATGAGGTTAGAAGTTGGTTTTTCTTGTTCAACGACCACAAATAAGACAGTTGAGAAAGAGGATCTAATTAGGAAGTGCTCATCAATCATTTGTTAGCCCACAAACAGGTCTTATTTTTATTCCACTCTCGCACACAGACGTCGACATGAACATGACTAAAGAATTCTGTGCAGTGAAAAACTAACTTGTGACAGATCATAAAGTCTTTATTCGAGAAGATAAAACACGAGAAACACGTCAGAGAGCCAGGTGTTACAAACGACTCACCTGCAGTTTGGTGGAGGGTCCAAGGTGATGTCAGCCAATTCCTTCTGAATTCTGCAAAATCAGATCGGAGTCAGTAAAACACGTTACTGTAAGTCCACAAAGAGGAATGACGATAACCAGAAACGAAGCTACTCTGCAAAGATCACCACAAACCCACGCCTGCAACAGTCACGTCAAACTTTCCACGCTGCCAGCTTATCTTGTGTGACATCACAGGCGCCGCTCTTCTACTCCACCCAGCATCACTGCACTCACCTCTTAGCACTGGTGGACAGATGTTTGGAGGTTTTGCTCATGCTGGCTTTACTGTCCTTTTTCTTTGGGGGGTTCGCCTCCTGCTGTTGCTGCTGATGGGTCGAAGAGGAAGAAGAGGAAGAGCTTGTGCTGGCACGGGAATCTTCATCCGACATACCGAGCCTGGGAAATGAACATTCATTTAAAATGATATTTCATAATAAAACGAAATTATTCGAGCTGCTGCAGGACTCTGACGTATTAAATCCACCTACTACAGCTGACACGGTCCACTAACACGTCCACGGCTGCCACTGAGTTCAAGCTCTAACTGCACTGAAATGTTCGTAGGATACACGCGTTAACTGTAACAGGTTGGCGTTTTCTATCTATGGACTGTAAAGCTCTAGTGTGCAGCCATGGCTGCCTCCATCACATTACGGCTCAGGCCTGGAGCGACACTGGCCGAGTAAACTGGTTGGACTAGTTTAAATCCTCCGTGTGAGGAACCTCTGCGGCCTGAGCTAATGTTGCCTGTTATTTTTAGCTCGTTGGGCAGCGACAAAGGAAACATCTGATGGAGCAGTTGGGCCCGGCTCTGGTCAACACCAGGGACCAAAACACCACCTCACACCGACCCGTGAGTGGAAAAGCAGAAACGCATCGGCGGGGCGATGTCGCAGTCGAACCCCGATGCTACACCGCAACAATGTTCAGCTGCGGGGAACTTTCGGATAAAGGAGTCAGGAAGCTCCTTCGGGCTGTCGAGCTGCTTCTCAGGCCTCACATTACGACGTCAGACAGAAACAAACAGAACCCGCCGTTCGCTCAAAGCTTTTCCTCGCATTTTAAAGCTACATCCGTCGACACTGACCCAGCCACAGGATGCACACAGTCCTAAACTCTCCTCTGACGATTAAAGGGCGCATTTGTCAGACTAACGCCCTCCGCAACATACACGCGACACACAGTGTTACAATATTATGAGCCGTTACACAAATATCTCCTGTTAGATACCTTTCTTTGTGTGTGTGTGTGTGCAAAGCCTACGCGCGTGTCCCTCCGCCGCCTGACTACACTCGCCGCCGTCAGGTTCACGCGCTACAGTACGGAAACGGGAACTTCCCGCCGACGTCTACAAAATAAAAGCACATTAAACTCATGGGAATAATTGGTCACACACAATGACTGTAGAAAACACACGAAAAGGCATCAGCACAAGAACAAGATAGTGCATATTTATCCTTAAAAGTATAATATCTTATATGACCCTTTCAAAAATGATATTAAAATGAAGACGATAAAGATACAAAAGTTGTTGTATTGTTAATTATTATAATTTTATTCACACACTTTACAACATACAGTACTGTATAGGTCCATTCTAGTGGGACCCCTTAAAGACAAAAACCTTTTTCTGCAGCAAAAGTGCGAAATTCTACAACTACCACTAATAATAATAATAATTTTAAAAAAGAATAATAATAATAATGGTAATAGTAGTGTAGTAGGTATAGTAGTAGTGGTAGTACTATTTTAATTTTGCAACTCCAAAATGTTGCTTAAACTACACATTGACATTATATTTTTAATTTTTACAAATACACAGGGTTCATCTTTTTGCTTGGCCTAAAATGATTGGTACGTGTATTTCAACCCGCCATGGGGTGTCAACAGCTGGATTTGCCAATTGAGATGTGGTGCTTTTATTTTGTAGGTTCTGACAGTTTACTTCCTGGTACTATTGCGAACAATAACAAAAAACAACTTGGCGTTCGCAATGGATCTAAGCGCGCCTGTGACAGGAAGTGTTCGTCCCGCAGCTGCCACTAGTCGGCGGAGTTTCCATTTTGGCTTTCTGCCAGAAATCTTCTGCGTTATTCGGTGTTTTCACGCATGCGTTGGTTTGGATTATGCGCCCAAAGTATTTGGCATAAAACTATTTTGTGACGTTTACAAAAAGATCCTGTTTTAGGTTTAAATAGACCGATTCAACACTGGAGAAGCAAGGCTCAGATGGTTTGGACATGTGCAGTGGAGGATGATGGACACACCGGACAAAGGATGCTGTTATGCTTCTGTCATGCAGTCATAACAGAAGCTGTCTAACATTCATCTGGAAAGAAAGCCATTACCTGTCCATGAACCAGTTTATCACTGCTGCCCTGCACGCGTCTCCACTGTCATGCAGCATATTTACTGTTATTATCCACACGTGGATGTTCCACATTTGGATTAGTTATGTACTAACGGAAATGATGTAAGAACCCAAGCACACCTTACTACTGTGCCTTCAGGTAGTAAAGCATATAGTTAGGGCTGGACCAGGTGACCCTGAATCCTCCCTTAGTTATGCTGCAATAGATGTAGGCTGCCGGGGGATTCCCATGATGCACTGGGTTTTTCCTTTCCAGTCACCTTTCTCACTCACTATGTGTTAACAGACCTCTCTGCATTGAATCATATCTGTTATTAACCTCTGTCTCTCTTCCACAGCATGTCTTTATCCTGTCTTCCTTCTCTCACCCCAACCAATCACAGCAGATGGCCCCGCCCCTCCCTGAGCCTGGTTCTGTCGGAGGTTTCTTCCTGTTAAAAGGGAGTTTTTCCTTCCCACTGTTGCCAAAGTGCTGCTCATAGGGGGTCATATGATTGTTGGGCTTTTCTCTGTATCTATGAAGCGCCTTGAGGCGACTTCAGTTGTGATTTGGCGCTATATAAATAAAACTGAATTGAATTGAATTAATAAAACCTGTCTACTGTTAATGTTCAGCCTGAGAACGGCTGCACTGAGTTCATTTAAAGGACAGTTCATAGCTCCTGTCAGCTGACAACAAAACTTTGGGCTTCACCAAAATTGAGAAGACTGGAAAAATGTTGCCTGGAATGATCAGTATGCAGATGGTAACACATCAGACCCACTACTAGGTGCACTCGTACTGTGTGAAAAGCATTTTTAAGATTAATTTGAAGATATTTCTACTCAACATATTTAAGCCAACAACAGCGTAAATGAACCGTACTGCATCGTTTTCTCCACCTGTAGCATCATTCTAAACTATCGCAAGACTTTCTCTTTTTAAATCCTGAAATGATCATCCTGAGCACTTAAGTAAACAAAAACATCCTGCTGAAGGTCTTCAGGGATCTGTAGAGTTGCACGTTCAGACTGTAATTAGTTTGTGGTGACTTGAGTAAATGATCTTCTTCTGGCTGCTCCTTTCAGCGGTCTTCAACCCATCTGTCACTCCTGCCACGCACCTCATCCCCTCTCGCCCTCCTCGTACATCCTGTCCACACAGACTGCTCTGCCACTCCGGACTTCCTCACACAGCTCCACAGTTCTTCTCTTGGATCCCTGACATCTGTAGTGTTTCTCTGGATGAAGCCTGACTGCTGCTCACGGATCGTCACCTCTCGTCTTGACCCCACTTCATTAATTCTCTCCCACAGCTTCATGGTTATGGTTTGCTAGCTGCACATCACCCTTGTTCTTGAAAATAAGCACCGGTACAGTTCTTTTCTTTTCTGCAGGCCTCCTCTCACTCCCCGAAACTGTGGGTAGAAAACTCCACTCTGTCTGTCGTAGACATCCCCGTACCTGCACAGGTGTGTCACCTGAACCAACCACATTTTCACTGTCGATGCTCTTCACAGCCGCCCTCACTTCCTCCTTACTAATCATCTGCACATCCCGATTCACTAAATGTCCTCCATCCGTGCTCCACTTCTCATTTTCCACCTTCATCGGTCCTCGGAGTGCTCCTTCCATCTTCTCCACACACATTTCACTTGTTAGCACACTTCCGTCTCTATCCAGCCTCACCTGCTGCACGTCCTGCCCCAGCTTGCTCTGTATGGAATGCCAGGACTGCCATAATGAATTAATTAAATACACCATTAAATAATTAATTAAATGTGGCAATAATTAATTAAAATTGGAATTAATTAATTAAATAAATAGTTATGACACATGTAATTAATTAATTATTGACAAATTCAATTAATTAAGATAAGATAAGATAGAACTTTATTAATCCCTCGGGTGGGTTCCCCTGGGAAATTCGATTTCCAAAAAAGCACAGCATATATATATATATATATATATATATATAAAAACAAAACACCCAGCACGCCCCTGCGGGCGGTTTATCCTTCAAGCTCGGGTCCTCTACCAGAGGCCTGGGAGCTTGAGGGTCCTGCGCAGTATCTTAGCTGTTCCCAGGACTGCGCTCTTCTGGACAGAGATCTCCGATGTTGTTCCCGGGAATATTGGAATGTCGTTCGGACTGGAGAAGTGTAGTCGGATGGTAACAAAGAGAGGGAAGGTAGTCAGAACTGAGGGGATTGAACTACCAGAAGGCAACATTGCAGACATAGAGGACAGTTACAAGTACCTGGGGATCCCGCAGGCGAATGGGAACCATGAAGAGGGTCAGGCAAGTCCTGAGGAGTCAGCTGAATGGTAAGAACAAGATCCGGGCCATCAACACGTACGCCCTGCCCGTGATCAGGTACCCTGCTGGGGTAATAGGCTGGCCAAAGGAGGAGATAGAAGCCACTGACATAAAGACAAGAAAGCTCCTTACCATGCATGGAGGGTTTCACCCCAAGTCCAGCACCCTGAGGCTGTACGCTAAGCGGAAGGAAGGGGGCCGGGGACTGGTGAGTGTCAGCACCACAGTCCAGGATGAGACAACGAACATCCAAGAATACATTGGGAAGATGGCCCCAACTGACCGAGTGCTCAGTGAATACCTCAGGCAGCAGAAACCCAAGAAAGAGGAGGGAGACGAGGAACCATCATGGAAGGACAGAGCCCTGCACGGTATGTACCACCGGCAGATAGAGGAGGTGGCTGATATCCAGAAATCCTACCAGTGGCTGGACAAAGCTGGACTGAAAGACAGCACAGAGGCACTAATCATGGCAGCACAAGAACAAGCTCTGAGCACAAGATCCATAGAGGCTGGGGTCTATCACACCAGGCAAGACCCCAGGTGCAGGCTGTGTAAAGATGCCCCAGAGACAATCCAGCACATAACAGCAGGGTGCAAGATGCTAGCAGGCAAGGCATACATGGAACGCCATAACCAAGTGGCCGGCATAGTGTACAGGAACATCTGTGCGGAGTATAACCTGGAAGTCCCGAGGTCAAAATGGGAGATGCCCCCAAGGGTGGTGGAGAATGACCGAGCTAAGATCCTGTGGGACTTCCAGATACAGACGGACAAAATGGTGGTGGCTAACCAACCGGACATAGTGGTGGTAGACAAACAGAAGAAGACGGCCGTAGTGATCGATGTAGCGGTTCCGAATGACAGCAATATCAGGAAGAAGGAACACGAGAAGCTGGAGAAATACCAAGGGCTCAGAGAAGAGCTCGAGAGGATGTGGAGGGTGAAGGTAACGGTGGTCCCCGTGGTAATCGGAGCACTAGGTGCGGTGACTCCCAAGCTAGGCGAGTGGCTCCAGCAGATCCCGGGAACAACATCGGAGATCTCTGTCCAGAAGAGCGCAGTCCTGGGAACAGCTAAGATACTGCGCAGGACCCTCAAGCTCCCAGGCCTCTGGTAGAGGACCCGAGCTTGAAGGATAAACCGCCCGCAGGGGCGTGCTGGGTGTTTTTTATATATATATATATATATATATATATATATATATATATATATACACACATACACACACATATATAAATACAGAGACAAATATAAATAAGATATACGAAGGGGATAAATAGAATAGATAGGAATAAAAAATAAAAATACAAGTGAATTGCACATTTCAAGTATTGAGTCTATTGCACTGTTGACTATTTACAAAAGTATTGCACAAGGTATTGCACAGTGAGGT